TAATATTAATTCACATTCCTAAAGTTATTTTAAAAGGTGTTTTACATTTTTGTTATTAAATTAAAATGAGGCATAGTTTTTAATAATTAAACTTTAAATGGGAAGTTTGGAAAGTATATATATTTTTTTAATTCCACAAGTTGAAAAGAATATTAACATTAGAAGAAAGAAGTTTCTTGTCATTTTTAGTTTTTAAATTACGGACGAACTGGAAACTTTTATTGAAGAATACAAGTAGAAAGTAAGTTTTCAAAGGATATCATTTTCAAACAATAGCATTGGAGTTGGTCAGTTGGCCCACTAGACTATGTAATCTTTGATCCAAGTAAAGAAAATGAACTGAAGCATGGGAAATTCTGTAGCACTGGGTATGGTGCAAACCAGAAAAGAAAAAAGTGATTAGGGAAATCATATCAGAAAGAAGAGGGAACAGCTCCAGTAAGTAAAATCACCTACTTTCCTCTACTTCATACTAAAAGTAGAAATTCCCCTCCTCCTCTCCAAAGCATTTGGTTCTCATATCTCTTGCATTTTATTCTCCTTCTTTGTACATGTATCTCTCTCTCTCTCTCTTTCCTACATCTTCAACCCTTTCCAAACCTTTTACTGATTTTTCACCTCAATCTATACACATGCTCAAATCTATTCTATTCCCCAACTCCCACCCAGGCTACTGGGGATTGAACCCAGGGCCTCATACAAGCTAGGCAAGCAATCCACCACTGAGCCACATCCTCAGCCTTTTTTAACTTTTAGTTTGGGACAGGGTCTGACTAAGTTGCCCGGGCTGGCCTCAATTTTACACCTGGCCTTATCCTCCCAAGTTGTACTGCCATGACCACCAGCTCATTCAAATCTATTCTATTTTTAAAACAAAACTATTAAGTACTGCTCTGCATAGGACCTGAGAAACTACACATGCTGTCACACACTTGACTACTCTTGGCCATGCTACAGCTGAAAACATGAGTTAAAACAGCCTTCTAAATTTCATGTTCCCCACTCTTCTGAGACTCTTCTCCACTAGACAACCAAAGTTCACCTTACTTTCCAATTCAGAAAAACCTTTAGACTTTTTTGTTTGTTGTTTGTTTTTATTTACACTTGCTGAGGAATGAATTAAACTGATCAATGCTCTCTTCCAGGAATTCCTTTTCTGTATCTATACCCTTTCCCTCCTGATGTCTCACGTTCCTCTCCATTTGCTTTTCCTAAAGATTCCTCTTTATCCACCATGCTTAAATGTTGATTTTTCCCAGATTTCCAACCCAGGCCCTACTCTTCTTTGTTCCATTAGGCATTTTAATCTATGAATTCCTCATCTGCTGTACAGTCTGTGCTGTTAAGTCCCTAACAATTATGTAGCCCTTTCTGAGATACAGAACACGATCTCTGGATTTTTGTAGGGCAATTTTATCTGAATATCTCAAAATATAGCCTGTTCAAGCTAAAACACAGTCTTCTCCAAAGCTAAGCCTGTTGTTCTCCCTATATTCCTTCACTCAGTGAACAGCCTCAATGTCTATCCTATCAATCAAATTGAAAACTTGGGAGCTCCTTGTTCACCTCTAAACTATTTGACACATTGTTATCTGAGATCTCTCACATTATTACCTTTACAATGGACAATTATAAGCATCTTATAAACTGGTCTCCACCTCTGTTGTCAATCCTCTTCAATTCATCTCAATGTTGACGCCAAGTGAGTATCTAAAAGCACAAATCTTATAATATCACACACCTTGTTTATAATCTCTGTTTGTAGTCCAAAATCCTTGATGTATCCAAGGACTTTTTAACCTGACCGCTGCTTTTGTATCTAGCTTTAGATTCCATCTTTTCTTAGTACTGCACCTATAGATCAATTGCTTCAAACTGTTACTCCTTAAGTACATGATCATCCTCCTTTTGGGATTTTATACTAGCTATTCCCCACCCAAAATACCTTTTCCTTATTCAACTTTCATGTCTGCTTAGATTCACTTTTTGAAGTCTTTTCTAACTCTTTTTAAAATTGCTTTTGTATTGGTTTTATAACTAGTATATACTTCTATTATAATATTTTTCATTGTTTATCTCTCCTATTACTAATTATCTTGAAGGCAGCATAGTTTTGTACTTTGTAAATATTCAGTGAGGAGGCTTAAATAATGGGACAATTCCAAATTCAAATATTCTGTAAAAAATAGAAGAAGTAACAAAATTGGTCCATAAATAGTCTTAGTTTGAACAACTGAGCAACCAGTAAGTTCCTGAAGAATACATGCCATCCTAATCATCTAGACCTCAACAACAGCAACAGCTTTCCTAGTAGGTGTAAAAAGTCAACCATTATTATGGTCCTGAATTCCTAACCTAGATCACAGATTATGAAGCCCAGTTCTAAAGAGTGGAGGCTTAGCCAGGCACAGTGGCACATGCCTGTAACCCCAGTGGCTCAGGAGGCTGAGTTTTTGATCTCAAGGAGAATCTTGAGTTCAAAGCCAGCCTCAGCAAAAGTGAGGTGCTAAGCAACTCAGTGAGACTCTATATTTAAATAAAATACAAAATAGGGCTGGGGATGTGGCTCAGTGGTCGAGTGTCCCAGAGTTCAATCCCCGGTACCCTCCCCGTAACCAAAAAAAAAAGTAGAGGGTTAAAAGGTTAGGCTTCTACTGGATTCAGAACCTACAGTAATGGCTTAACTGTACAAAATGATCAGGACAGTTTAGGATTTGGGCATTTTTCTAGAACAGTGGATCCAAAGCTTTCATCATTTCTCAGAGGAGCCCCTGACTTCAAAATTATTAAGAATCATTTATTTAGATAGCTGAACTAGGTACCTGAAAGAGTGTGTTAATAGTTTTAGGGAAGAAAACTAAAAACATTGAAAATACAATTCCTATACACTGTAAATGTGCTAGATTTAAGTTGAACAAATATAGTCTGGAAATATTTATGTGCTAATTATTTAGAATTTTTTTATATATCCAACTAAGTAAGAATTAGTTACTTTAAACATCAAAGCCATACAGGAAGGACTCCCCTGAATCTAAGAGCCATCAAAAAAAGTAAAAAGTAAAAGCTCTGGTAAAATTTTATTTATTTATTTATTTTAGAGGAGAAAGGAGAGAGAGAGAGAGAGAGAGCGAGAGAGAGAGAGAGATCTTTTTTGTAGATGGACACAACACAGTGCCTTTTTAAAATTTTTATGGGGTGCTGAGAATCGAACCCGGGTTCTGCCTGTTCTAGGCACACGCTCTACCACTGAGCCACAATCCCAGCCCAACTGGTAAGATTTTTATATGCACCTTCTGACAACTGGTAACAAAAAAAGCTAGTCAAGCAAATGCAAAAAATATCTGTAATTTATTATCACCCATCTATAAATTCAATAATTTATTACCAACCATCTATTGTATGAGACTAGGTTATATTCACAAGAACGGTAGTAAAAGAGAAATAGGTACAAGAAATAAAATTAATGCTATAACAGAAAACTTAAAATTCTCACTGTTAACCCTGATCCAACAGGAAGACAAGTCTCAGATGCTTTGTATGCCACTTTGTGAAGCTAATTCAAAACTTACAGAGTATAAAGGTATTAATAGGTGAAGAGACTCAATGACTATCAGAAAATAGCTAAGAATTTATAGTGAAGATCTAGATATCATCAAAACATACTGTAAAAATGAAAATTTGACTTTTATAATATCATATAAGAGATCAGTCCTAAAACCCCCAAACACAGCACTTCTGATGATGCTTAACTGTAATGAACCGTTGTTCCAAATACAGGAAGAATTCTCAACCAAACAATTGCACCTGCTCCTGCCATATGTACGTGAGACAAACAGGGGAAACCCACAACCACAACTGACCATGTGCGATTCACCACAGGACTTCTAGTAAGGAATGCTTTCAGGAGATTAAAAAGATGATGGCATTAAATAATGTACTAAGTAACCACATTCATGGCACTAGAAAAGAATTTTTGTTTTCTTCTTTTAAAGAAGACGCTGAGAGATTAGTGTACAAGGCAATAAACAGGAAATGCTTCTCCTGTTATTGTACCTTTTAGCCAGAGTTGCAGAGTTGACACTTTTAAACTTTTTTCTCCTTTTCGTTCTTTTTCTTTTTTCTCCTCACACGTGCTAGGCAAGCTCTCTGCCACTGAGCTACAACCCCAGCCCTCATTTCTCATTTTGCACAAGTCAACAATAACCCATTCCCAATCCCTCAAGAGGGAAAGTGAGGCTTCAAGGGAGAAACAGGAATGGTGTTCTGAAGCTTATGAAGTGGTCTAGCATTATGACAATTTAATATGCCTCTTCACAGACAGCAACCTTATACATAGTCAGTGAGCAGAGAATCAAAAAAAAAAGTACAATCCTCATTTGCCACTGCAAGTAAAAAAAGGAAATCTGCTAGGACTGAATTATATACCTCGTCCACATTCATGTGTTGAAGTCCTAACTTTCAAATTTATTTTGAAGTGGACCTTTGATAGATAATTACATTTGGTTGTGGTCACAAAGGTATGACCTTCATTGTGGGAATAGTGCCCTTCTAAGAAGAGACACAAAAAGCTTTCTTTCTTTCTCTCCCCCTATCATGTAAAGTCATAGTGAGAAGGTGACTGTCTACAAGCCTAAGAGAGGGCCCTCATTAGAAACCAGTCATTCTATCACCTTGATCTTAGACTTCTGTCCTCCTGACTGTGTATAAGCCATTCGTTCTCTGATATTTTGTTATGGCAGTCCTAACAAACAAATACGATAATCATACTTACAGTTGGAGATTCCACATAGTCGTTTCAATTCCATCTTGACTAAATAGTAACATCTTTAAGTCAAAAAACACTAACGCTAGTTTTGAGTTTTGCTTTTAAAAGTGCTGGCTTTCAAATAACAATTTTAGAAAGTAAAAATTAAAAGAGAAGCATGAAATATAAACAAGTATAGTGCAAGTCTACTGAAATGCATTATCAATGTAGTAAAAATGGAATAAAAGATACTTACCACCACCAAGAATGTAAGAATCCTGGAGGTTCCCCCAATGTGATGTTTTTTTCCCATCTTATCTAAAATGAATAAAAAAGATATTAAATACTTTCCTAATACTTTTTCCCATACATAATACAAAACAATATTTTTCCCATTTTTTTTATTTTTTATTTTTTAGTTGTAATTGGACACAATATCTCTATTTCATTTACTCATCTTTTATGTGGTGCTGAGGATCGAACCCAGGGCCTCACATGTGCTAGGCAAGCTCTCCACTGCCAAGTCACAACCCCAGCCCCTATTTTTCCCATTTTAAAAGGTAAATTTAATGTTTTTCATCTTTTTCACATTATTCTTTGCTGGAGTTTTTCTAGTACTGATTTTACATAGTGATTTGTAAACTGAATTAGTCTATGAGAGAAGATGTTGCCATTATTTCCCTGAATTTGCTTCCCATTATACAAGTTATTAGGCTCTTCTCTCAACTCCAAATCCATCTTTCTGTGCAATTTGAGATGCTTGGTACCTCATAAGCTCAGTGGGGCCTTATAGCCAGAAAGTTGTCTTTCCTTAGAAGTTTAAGACTCAGCTGTGGAGGTTTTCCCTCTAATATTCTGATAACCACACTTCTTTATTTTGATCCATCAGCCCTATTGCTTACTTGTGGCAATTATTGATTTATATAACTTCATACATTCTGCAGTTCCTTGTTTTCTTAAACCTGTATTTCCCCATATTATATTCTGTTGAAACATTTAATGTTCTTTTAATTAGTATATCTGTACCACCACCCCATGGCCCCCTATAAAATAAAATATTAAAAATATATTCTTTTTAAACAGAATTAGGCATGGGCATAAATTTAGCTTTCATATATATTAGCTGTCTGAACTGAGGGAAGTTACTTAAGTCTTCTGTGCCTCCACTTCCTCATCTATAAAAAGGGATAATAGTAGTTACCTACTTCCAAGGGTTGCTGTAAGGAATAAACTGGTTAGTACATGAAAATCACTTAAGAGTGACTGACACAGTAAATGCCTGATAACTGTTAGCTACTGTGGTTATTTTTTCTTTTACCTAGAAAAGCAATGCTATAAAAATTTATTCCAGCATCAGTGTCACCAGTACACACAAAACTCCAGTGATAAATATTCAAGTATTTAGGTATGTGCCAAACAATTTTTACTTACTCATCAAAACAGTATAAAATACCTTGGTGGAAATCATATGTACAACTAGGAAAAACAGCAATTAGAGTTGAAACTGATATAAATGGAAGCAGTAAAATGTTAATCATTTAAACAAATTAAGCTGTTATTTATTTTAAAATTTTTGGAATTTGTGTTCGATTTAGTTGATTTACCATGTATTCAGATAACAAAAAGGAAATCAATCTAAAGAGAACCCAGCTTTAAAAAAAATAAATTGACACAAGATAATTGCATACTTATGTAATACAGTGTGCTATGTCAATTGATGTATATAGCATGTAATGGTAAGATCATGATAACTGGTATTACATTTCACATCAAACATTTATCATTTCTTTGTGTTGGAAACATTCAAAATACTTTCTACTAGCTATTTTGAAATATCCAATTAATTGTTGTCAACTGTAGTTATCCTACAGTGCTTTAGAACATTAGAAGTTGTTCCTCTTGTCCAACTGCACCCTTGTACCTATTAACTATCCTTTCTCCATCCTTGCCTTCCCTACACCCATCCAGGATCACTACTTCTACCAGATCAACTTTTTGTTTAGCTTCCATATATAAGTGAGGACATGTAGTATTTGTTTTTCTATGCCTGACTTATTTCGCTTAATATAATGTTGTCTAGGAGAACTTAACATTTGAAGTCTGCCTGCCTGCCTGCCTTCCATTGTTCCTTCCTTCCTTTTGGTGAATCAAAAGGCATTTCAGGATCTTAAGGCATATCAAAATCATCAATATGAACATCAGTTATCACCACTGACTGAGGAATTTTCAAGAGACTGGGCTTTAAATATGTAGACTAAGTTATACCTTAAGGATTGCATTTTAAAACAAATTTCTAATTTTATAGGTTATGAATGAAGTAAGAGTTTTTTAAAAAAAAAAACAAGGTGATATTAACTTTCCAAGTATTTATATTTCAGATGACTTTGAGTTCACCATTACAAAAATTTAAAATAAAGTCAATATCTCTCAAAAATTAAAAATTCAGACTAAGTACGTTTCACAAAGTAAATTTGGAATTTTGAAATCTGTATGGGCATTTATATGGTATCTTTTCAAAGCACTGGATAGCAGTGAACACAAACAATAAAAATCCCTTTCTTCAGGATTATGCTTTGTAGGAAGGTAGATCATAAACTAATTAAAAGGGGAAGTGGGCAAATTGTGTTTATACTAGAAGATTACAAATGGTACAGAGGGAGACAAAGCAGTAAAGGGGCATAGAAAAAAGAGGAAAATAATGAAGTTAGTTCATAGTTTTAAATAATAAGATCCAGAAATGCCTCACAATAAACTCTGTGTATAAGTATGTTCCTTGTTTTTTTTTTTTTAGTTAAAATAATAAAAAGTGGTTTAACAATACCCCAAGCAGCACAATTTGTTCAAAGGTCCTTAACATTTTGAAAAAGTAAACAAATATAATCATATATTTCAAAAAAAAGTCAGCCAATTCTTTATATCATCTGCTATGAAAGAACTCAGTTATTTTATCCCCAAAGGACTTAAAAAAATCAAAATTGTAAAACATAAAATAAACTCAAAAAGTGGTCCTAAATGGGGAGGGATGGCAACTTAAAGGAAGACATCAAAGCCTTAAGTACCATTACTATCACTGAAGCATTTTTTAGAGTTCTTAATTACATAAATATAATGCAATGAGAACTTTGAAGTAGACATGTAATTTGTTCTCAAAATACAAACTTTTTCCAAAGATTAGAAATGTGATAACCATTTTAAGAGTATTAAATTAAGAATTTCCAGTAATTAATGAAGTTAGAAATACTAAATATGAACAATAAACTAGGACATGTTATATAAGTCAGACCCTAATTTGAATTCTCCTTAAAAATAACACAAATATTTGTACATATATGTTACCTTGTACGTATATGTCAATTTTTTTTATTTGATTATTTTAGTTGATTAACACTGTGTCTTATTGGTTCCTAAAAAATAAGTAACAATACTTAGTGAGATTTGTTATGGTTTGGATGTAAGGTGTCCCCCAAAAGCTCATGTGTGAGGCAATGCAAGAAGGTTTAGAGGTGAAATGATTGAGTTATGAGAGTTTTAACCTAATCCATGAATTAATCCATTGATAGGGATTAACTGAGTGGTAACTGTGGGCTGGTATGGTAGGATTTGGCTAGAGGAGGTGGGTCCCTGGGGGCGTGCCTTTGGGGAATATATTTTGTCCTATTGAGCAGAGCTTGCTCTCTCTGCTTCCTGGTACAGTGTCTTCAGCTGCTTGCCTCTACCACACTCTTCCACCATGATGTTCTTGCCTGGCCTTGAGTTCTGAAGAATGGAGCTGGCTGTCTATAGACTGAGACCTCTGAAACTGTAAGCACCAAAATAAAATTTTCCTCCTTAAAATTGTTCTTCTCAGGTCTTTTGGTCAAAGCAGAAGAAAAGCTGACTAAAATTAAAACTTAAGAGAAATGAAACTTTGCTGTCCTGATGAAAGTATAATTTAGTCAAACCCTGTCTCATTCTTCTCTTAATCTTTTGCCTTACATTAACTTATGTCTCACTGAAAGGGCATAAGAATGGGACCTCACAAATGCATCCCCCACACACTAATATTCCTTATCACTGAAATCAACCTAATCATATGAACACAAAGTTTTTCAAAGCAGTGTTCTTATATTTCATCTCAGTTCATTTTGACTTTGCATAATATACTAATAAAATAAAGCAAATATTGCTAATTAATTACTGCTTTTAATTAAAAGAAGAATGTGAGATGACTTATGGAGCAGTTAAAGTGACATAACTAGGTCTCAGTGCCAGGGTATGCTGGCAGTATGATTAGACTCATAGTCTAACAAGTCCCACTGCAACACATCAGTCACTAAACAGTCTCCCTCATGCACATCCACCACCAATCACAAGCTATTTCAGGAGATAAAATATTCTAAGAAACTACCTGTATGGTTTATATTTGATATGGTCTTTTATGTGAGGAAGTCTGAAGATAATCCGTGTGTATTTTTAAAATATTACATATTATTATTCCTTAAAAGAAACTCAAAATGCTTCACATTCATCATTGCTTTCTGCCTCATAACATTTTCTTTTTTACTATATAGTGAGTAGAATTCATCTTTTTCACCTTAAATTACAAATCTGTGCCAGGAGCAGCTAGAACATTGATCCATCATATTGAACAGAAAAGCCATCCTTTTATAGTTATTGAATGAAAAACAAGTAAAGCTATGCTTTAAATATTTGCAAAGAAGAGATGGGTCTACATAGAAATATGTTTCTATAGCAAATGGTATTGATGCCTCCAAATAAATCTCTGTTCTAGGTATTACTTGTTTACAGAAAGCATGAAATGGTACTCAAAACAAGTTTAACCCTTCCCTGTAGAAAACTAAGCCATATTTATTGAAGCATTCTTAGAAAAAAATGGAAATTAGAAAAAATCTGAGAAATATTCACCAACAGTGATTCTAAGTTTTGATGCGTGTGTATACAACTGGATGAATGTAAATTTACCATTATTTTCTAAAAAAGGATAACAGAGAGTTAGTTCCATTTTAAAATTTTATTCATCTGTAGTTATTTTTTTAATAAACATGCATTGATGATTGGTAGTATTGAAAAATAGACAAAAAATACTCCTAAATTCCAATTGTCATTTCAGAAACAATGTTTTAGAGAGAGAGAGAGAAAGAGAGAGAGAATTTTTTTATATTTATTTTTCAGTTTTTGGTGGACACATCTTTATTTTTATTTTTATGTGGTGCTGAGGATCGAACCCAGTGCCCCGCACATGCCAGGCGAGCGTGTTACCGCTTGAGCCACAGCCCCAGCCCTTCAGAAATAATTTTCCTGTTATTTATGAAGAGGTA